ACAGAGTCTACAGTGTAAAATAACCTCAATGTTGACGCTTCACTGACCCGCTCTTTTTAGCTGGGATTTCTTCCTTTTCCACCCCTGTTTGCCTGGGTAGTTTACAAGGCAATTAGAAATTCTTCCTCTTAGGCTTGCACTAATCTGTGTTGTGATACTTGAGTGCACACTGATTTGTCAGTCTTGCTTGAGTCTTTTATGAGTAGATCATATATTTGGTTATGTAGATCAGCAGTACTCTAAGCCTTGACCTGCTCATGCTTGTTTACTTATTCCCTGTCAGCAAAACCTCCTTATGTGTAAATAGGCTAAAAATCAGTTGCCCTATGTACTACAAAAACCCTTTCTTTGTCCTTAGAACTGCTTATGAAATCATAGAATGGTTTGGGTTGGAAGGGACCTTCAAGCCCCCCCAGTCCCACTCCCTGCCATGGGCCGGGACACCTTCCACTAGACCAGCTTGCTCCAAGCCTCATTCAGCCTGGCCTTGAACATTTCCAGGAATGGGGCATCCACAGCTTCTCTGGGAAACCTGTCCCAATGCCTCCCCACCCTCTCCAGGAAGAATTCCTTCCTAATGTACCATATCAATCTCCCTCTTTCCATTTAAACCTTTGTCCTGTCACTCCCTGCTCTTGGAAAAAGTTGTGGATAGTAGCATCTAGTTTTGTTAAACATAGGATTTCTGTGCTAAAAATAGAATCTGACTTGAATTATAGATGTGTTAGATGGAAGAGGAGAGTTTCTTGACTAGCTGTTAGTAATGTGCTCCCTTCTGACTTTCATGCAAGTTTTTCTTGGACCAGGTTTAAGCTGGAGTGGGTTTTGGTTTTTTTTTTTTTTTTAATCCAGCAGCTGAGATCTGCTTAGAAAGTGTGGCAGTAATTAATAGGGGTTAGGTCGAAATAAAGCAGTTGATGTTGACTTGTTGGAATTAAGATTGCAGGTAGAGAGGAGATGCTTATTCTTGGGAACCCTCCAAGCAGAAGAGATGGGAGGCAAGGTGGAGACAGATGAGTTGTCATCTCTATTCTCATCTCTGCTAATATAAAATTATCCAGAGATGATTCGAAGTGCCTTGTAACTGCCTCTGCGATATTTTTTTCCTGTCACCCATGAGAGATGGCAATCAAAACCTCTTTTTAAGACTGAGAAAACTTGGGTCTTGAATGTATTAGTGTTAGTATAAGCCTTGTGTGTGCTTTGTGGCAGTAAGCATGATACTGTTCTCGTTCATGATGGAAGTAGTAGCTCTGTCGTTGTGGTAGCACAGGTAGAAGAATACAGCTTCTGCCCAAAGCAACATGCCATGAACAGGGAGGTAAGATTAGTGTCTAAAAATGTAACGCATGTGAATGGTTTACAGTTTATGATGGATTTGCCTCTCTTCCTGCAGTGTGGGACAGCTGGGTAACACTGGTCATCGGCCTTGTATCCCAGTGAGTCCTATAAAACAGAGCACGTGGCTCAAAGAAATTAATAAAAACTTTGCATTTCTTACAGTCCTTCAGGATCAAATAAGCAAAACATCATACTTCCAAAACAAACGTAAGCTTCTAAGATTGAGAATTCTCTTTATGTTATCTTAGATCCTAAAGGCACATACTGACCATCTGGTTAAAATCAGTCTTGTGTGCAGGTTGGAGCACTCCTATACAGTCTTCTCCACCTTCTGAATTCTGAGTGGGGCTTGTTTAATTTCAGCATCTTTGACACAACTGTTGTAGATCCTAAAGCTGCCTTTCCACGTGCCTGCTACCTCGTTATTCCTTTATCACTAGTCCTTGTGCTTTTCCGCAGCGCGGGCTCTTATCGCTGCCAACATGTGAGATGTCTTAAGTGAAGCAAGAATAACCTTGAGTACAGTGGAAACACGAGGTGCACAAACAACTCCAAAATGGGGTTGTTGTAACCTGTTATAAATTACTGAATGTTGTGTTTTTTTCCTGCATCAAGCTAATGTTCTCTGAAGTAAGATCTTTGAGTCACTGGTAGAATTATTACTGCTGTATGCCAGCTGAGCAGTGTGCTCTTTCTCTATATATCTATCTATATATATGTAAAAATAGAATATCAACAGTAAACCCAAGATGTATTAGAGCTGTGTTTTAAGAATTCTGCACACTATTGAAAAGTAATATTCCATACTCATAAATATCAACTTTTTTACAAGGGCACGCTTCAAACTCACAGAGCAGAAGCTGGTTTGTTCATAATTACTGCCTGACAGCATAGTAGGGGTAAGGTTTCCTTACAGCCTGTAGGTGGGCTGCTCTGAGAAGGACCAGAGCTCAGTTTCAGTGTACTATAAACAAGTTTCCTACTACTTGGTAACTTCAGGGGTGGATGCCCCATCCCTGGAAGTGTCCAAGGCCAGGCTGGATGAGGCTTGGAGCAACCTGGTCTATGGAAGGTGTCCCTGCCCATGGCAGGGCATGGGACTGGATGGTCTTTGAGGTCCCTTCCCACCCAAACCACTCTGTGATCTATGATCCTCTCAGATGATGTCTTCTGGTGATTACACAAGACACTTGTGTCTTGGGTTTTTTCTTTCTACACTAAACATACCACAAGTATTTCTTCTAATTTGTCATCTTAGAGTAAGTATCTGTGTTCTGCTTTAAAGTAGCTTAATGATCCCCACCCCCCAACTTCCAGCAAGAATGGAAACAAAGAAAGTCCATGTTGAAGTAGAATGGGCAAATGGATGCTATTTGCATTTTATTGAGTGCTTCGTGATTATAAAAATACTAAAATAATGGTTTAAAAATGTATTTTTTGAGCAAGTATAACTAAAACTTTACACAGCGGACTTTTGCAGCGTGCCAGAATTGAGCTTCCAGCCGTGCTTTATGAAGAAGCAGGCAAGAAGAATTTTGCATAGGGTGCCAGCAGTTAAAGTTGCATTCAATTATACTCAATGAAGCACTGTATAAAATGTCATAGTTCCTCTTCCTTAACTTTATTGCTTGTGACCAGGCTTAACGGGCAAGCGAGGTAACACACAAGGAGAGAGACATAAAAGTTGGTAATATTTTTCTCCATGTCATAAATGTACATACACCAAGACATCCACTGACATTTTTCAAGACTTTCATGTAAATGATTATGTTATGAAAGCTGACATGAGGATGTATGTAGTTCAGAGCCTTTCAAGATTAATTAGTGGAAGCGAGAGGACTGGAATGTGAATATTAGCAAAGAAGCAGGACCAACGTGATAAACAGAAAAGCTTAATTTCTACCACGTAAAAGAAACTGTGTGTGGGAGATGGTAGCGAGCACTGTAAAGCAGTTTTTATCCTCTTTTCTATGCTGTGTGTATTGAAGAGCTCTGTGTCTAATAATAGAACGCGTGGTTCCCATTACTAGTGACTTAATGAAATACTCTCTTTAGTGAAACATGGCTTGTGTTCCTAATGGTGCTTTTATTGTCAAGCTTGAGTGAGTTTTATACTGTTAATTGTAAAGGTATCCCTTACATCTAAACCCTGCTCTATTTGGGTAGTGTAATTGTAGATATTGAGATGAATTCCTTTTTGATTTGTATTTTACACTTAGGATAATGCGTCGTGGAACTTTCGTAGCGTGTGTTCATTTTGAGAGGTTTTATTTTCTTGCATGGGGAACTAGTTGGATTTATAGATCTATTAAGCAAGGTGAGCTGGTTGTATACTATTCACAGTGATTTTTATATTCCTCAACTTGAAGTGACCTAGTGAGTTTGAAAGTAGCATAAAACTTGAAACTGACGTCTTAATATTTGATCTGCTGTGATCATGACCTGTTAACCTTTAGCTTTAATGGCCCTATATAATTCTCCTTAAAAGGTGCAGATGTACTCTTCTGTGGGGCTGATTGATGATAAAATACACTTTGCGTCATCACCCCTCTAGAACATGTGTTGTTTCAAGTAGATATTGATCTCCTGTATTTGTTATCTTATATTTGAGAGAGACTTTGCTTTCTGATGTAATGTGGGGTTTGTGCAGATAATACGCTCAGCATCTTGATTAGGAGCTGCAGAACGTACAGTTCTTGAAAAGGCAAAAGCTCGTTTCATGGGATAGTTCCCATAAACATAAATTTTAGATTGTACGAAGTATTGACCACGATGACCTCATAACCTCTGGTGTGGTAAGGAAGAGTCAAGACAGTCCTAAGAAATGAAGTATTAAAAGCATTTATGAGAACTGCTTCACTTAAGGAAAATTTCCTAGAACAAATGTATAAAACTATATCTTTAATGCAGACTGTTAAAGTTTCAGAACTTCAGGGACGTGAGATCTGGTTCTCTGATCCCATGCAGCAGTTAAGACAGAAGCTGTGCTACTTTCTTAAACTCTTTGCTACACCTAGGTATTGAAAATTGTGAAAAATGCTTTATTAAATTGGATAAATAAACATATCATGTTTGCATGGATTATGATGTTGGAACTGACTTGAGTGCGTGTGTGGAGCTTGGGGAAGGGAAAGGAATCACCCCGAGTGCTGTTCTGGTGTGGTGGTAAGCGAGTCTGCAGGCATCTTCTGTGTGTGAAGAGATCTGTGTGCTCTCAGTAGCAGAACAACAATCAGAAGAGAACACCTTTCTTAAGAATATTTCTCTTTGGAAATGAGCTAATCAACTGTGAATGGCTGAATACAAAAGAATAATTTGGGCTCTGGTGGTATGCTGTATGCTTAAAATGTGCTTCATGTAGTGAGAGGAATGTTACAGCTCTGGGAGAATCATAAGGTATCTTTTAAAAACCTAAAATACTTTAGAAAATGCAATTCATTATCTGAATTTTGACATCAGTTTTTTGTAAAGGCCGATTGACTGGAATTGCAGAGGGTTCACAAGCATGCCCTGTGGAGGGGGGTCCTGGCAGAAGTCAGCACGGGAAGCTTTTTAAGTCTTTACCTTCTCAGAAAAGGAGTCTGTGTCTTTTTGAAGTTTATTAAAGCATCTGAATAATTTCACCTTAATGCTTTTTTTTTTTTTTTCTTTCTCATCAGGTTTCCTTTATATCCCAAAGGAGGGGAGAAGCTTCAGTTTGAGTATGGAGTATATCTTCTCAACAAAAATATAGCACAGGTTGGTACACTGAGGTTTTATCTCTGATCTGCCTAGTTTGTGTGACATGAGTGTGCACCTGCTGCCTTGTGATGCTGTTCTCCATGGCAAACCTTTGTGAGCTAGTGGAGGCGTTGTTCAAATCACTGTCTTTGCTTACCTTACTGCTTCGTGCTTGAGACTTTCTCTTGTGGTTCTTGAGGAAAGGCTTGCCAGCTAATAATGAATCTTCTTTTTCAGATAAATACTGTGAGTCTGTACACACTGTTTTGAAAGTTGTAAACTTGTTCTCTTTTTTTTTTAATTGTGTCATACTTGAAGATTCATTTGTGTCATTCTCATTCCAAAATGCTACTTTAATTAGTATTCTACTCCTGTACATATGATATGAAAACACAAGGTGAAAGTTCTTAGGTCTTACCAATGCATGACTTTAGAGGACTTTTTAAAATATCATCATCCTTACTGCTTCCCTCTTAATGTATGTGAAGAATCATCCTTTGCTGAGGCAAACACATCATAATTTACAAAAGTTTACAAACTTGCATTGGAGTTGATACTAATCCCTTCTGCCAACCCATTTGGTATGGAATTCAGAAGATGTTTGAAAAACTGGTCTGAAAAGGACCAGTGCAGACCACTTTGACTGTTGCTTGGTCCTGGGGCAGGGTCAGCTCCTCCTAGGACACCCCTGGTATGTGTTTGTATAACTTTCCCTAAAGGAAAGACTGTGATCTAATAGTCTATTCCAGTGATTGGCAGCCCTGGCCATTATAGTAGTCTTTTCTGACACCTAATCCAAATCTGTCTTGCTTCTGTTTAACTACATAATCACTTATTATAATAATCTGTTTAATTCTCTTCCTCGTTGCAAAGTTTTATGCATTGAAAGACAATGTCTCCTTTTTAAAGCGTTATCTCATGGGAGATGTCTCTTAATTTCTCAGCTTTCCTGTCTCTTTCATCTGAATCCACATCTTTCTTGAAGTACAGTGCCCAAAGCTGTGCAAGTCTTGCCTTCAAAAGATTGTCTAGGATGGGAGAAATGCTTCACAGGTCTTTTCATTTCTTTCAGTTCAATACATTCCCATAGATTTGTACTCTTAACAGCTTTAGAAAGGTGAATTTTGTGATTTGGTGGAACCACCAACCCCAGGTCTCTTGCACAGCAACAAAACAGTCGAATCAGAATTTTGCAGAGGACTCATTTAAGTCATGTTTTACACACTGTACCTTGAGTGTACCTTAGGTGCCCCTTTTTTTAAATCATGTCTCTGATTTGTTGACAAGTCTAGAAGATGGAGTACAGTAGGTTGGGAACTCAATCACAGCTTTATACTGTCTATATATGAACCTATTCTCTATCCAGGTCACCTAATTAAAATATTGAATAGAACTGGGATAAAGCCTAGATCCAGGTGGCACCCCACTTCACTGGCACTTCTGTTTCCAGCAGTGAACTATTGCTTAACTACACCCAAAGAGTACTTACTTGTGCTGTATTCATTCATACTTCATCAATATCCCATTTCCCCAGCATACTTGCGAGCATATTACCCCATAAAGTGCCAAGAGATTTATTTAAATTCTAACAGAAATATGATGTTTTGGTTTCTAACCTGTTTGTAAGGCTTGAAATTAGATTGATCTGACAGTTTTGTTCTTGAAAAATCTGTTCTTTTTTATGCTTAATTTCTAGTAGTTTGGTGTGTTTTTTCTTTCCAGTTCTCTTCTTTTTTTCCCCATTCCCTACCTCAAAATAGAAGTAAACCTTCTCTGTCATCTCGTTGTTTGTTTTTTAAGCTTGGATTGCATTTACCATTTTCCAGACTTTTGGTATCTTGCCCGTGCATAGTGTATTTTGGAAGATAACCTCCAATGCTCTGAAATTACTTAAAGCTAAAATATCTTAAGATGAAGTTAATCAAGTCCTGCTAATCTTGGAAATTCACTTAACCAAGCTGTTAATGTAGCTTAGACTGTGGCTCTTTGTTGCTGGCATTAATAATGGCAGCCAGCTGTTCACACTTGACTTTTATAGGGAAGACTAGTGAGAGAATGAGATTAAATACTCTTTCCTTCAAACACTTTGATGGCTTTCTCTCTCCATTACTATCAAATCAATGCTTTCCTTAATCTCAACTTGTGTAAATGCATTAGTTCTTTCTGTAACTCAAGAGTTGTGATGCTACTTGCTTTGCTTTTCAACCTTTCATGTTCTTTGGTGTTTTTTTTTTTTTTCCCCCCTGTTCTGGACTTTCAGTTATGTGAGTCAAGTCCTCTGTACTTCCTTCTTGATTTGAAATGACGAACTCTTAATTGAGCCCAAGTTGGTAATCTTTCCATTTCCTGTAGTCTGGGTTGGTTGGCACCCGTTCCTGTAGGAGCTTTTTTCTTATAGGAACTGTCACCTCTTGTTTACCTGTTTTTTCTCTGACTTGTCTCCTCTGGGATGTTACCACTGTTGGACCTACTGAAATCTCTCATTCTGAGTTTGTTCTTGTCCTGCTTCTAAAGGACTGAACAGTTGAACACATGATCGCTCACCCATGTTGCCTTCCAAGTCTTTGCCGTAGGCTTCTCAAATCACTGGCATGTGTTTAAAACCATAAAAGGTAAATTAAGACTTTTAAGTACGTATTTGTATTAAAAACTTTCCAAATTTACATGGGGTCACTGGTGGTGGTACAAGCTAGAGTAGTCAGTGGCCAAACTTTGAAGTGGTTTGTACAACACCAGTGGTTCACATGTTAATGCTTGAGATTGTATGCTGTTGAGTATAAAAACGTAATAAAAGTAAATCAGCATATTTGGGAGGCTTCTACAACTTATTTAGTCAGGAAAGTGTTACTGAAGTCCGTATAAACTGTTGTTTTGATATCCTTGGTCAAATATCGCAGCTTTTTATAGTTCTGCCAAGGGGAAATTCCATTGTGAAAGCAGAACAGGTAGATAGCACGTAGAAATATGTCTCCAAACCTCTGTACTCAGGGGCTGACTTGATCTAGAAACCTGACATTGTTTCAGTCCTTCGTGTGTTCTTTTAGAGCCTTGAACTGGTGAATCCAAGTAGCTTTTAGAAGCTCTTAGGGATGCTTCAAGAAAAACGTCCAGATACGCTTAGTTAATGTGAATATGTGAAAATAATTACGTTTGGATGGAGAGTGAGCGGCTGCCTCCTTTCTATAGACCGTCACAACCTTTGAAGGGATCCCTTTAAGGCCCAAAGGTCTTGCCCTTAATTCAAGGAACCGGTTCTGCGAATTAGTCTCTTGTGAACAAATGTGGATTGGCTGCTTAATTCCCTCTGGGAAGATGGGAGGTGTCTAGAGGAACAGTGCTGACTCTACCAGAGCATTAAGAGAAGAGCTTGGCTCTCCATCACCTTACCCGAAGTCATGATCACAGTGGGTGAGAAACAATGAGCCCAAAAAACTTGTATCAAGTTGAAGAAATACTTGAAAGGATTTGTATAAGCTTCTGTGGTTTCACAGATATCTTATATGGGATGATTTTTTTTCCTTTCACAATTACCTGGAGTTCTGGCAGCGAGGAGAAACATGAGTAGGGGAGAGCCAGGGTTGATATGAATGTTGATGTTCAGCTTTTCGTTGGTGGATGAAAAGCTGAACATGAGCCGGCAGTGTGCACTGGCAGCCCAGAAAGCCAACCGTATCCTGGGCTGGATCCAGAGAAGTGTGGCCAGCAGGGCGAGGGAGGGGATTCTGCCCCTGTACTCTGCTCTGGTGAGACCCCACCTGGAGTGCTGCGTCCAGCTGTGGAGCCCTCAACATCAGAAGGATATTGACCACTTGGAGCG